CATTACCGAACACAATATGTCTAGTAGTGATTTATATATCTTAAACATTCCAAATTATTCATTAGGTTCAGTGTTTAGTCGTAGGAATCGTCGTGGTGGATCTTGTATTCTGGTACATAACTCACAAAAGTTTATACCAATTCGTAACATAAAAAAATATTCGCTTGAAGGTGTAATCGAAAGTTCAGGAATACAATTACCTGAACATAAACTATATATATTCTGCATTTACAGACCCCCCAGGGTAAGCTCCGAAGACATCAATAAGTTTTTAGCAACATTTACTTCTTTATTAAATCAATTTTGCCTTGGAAAAAATAAAGTAATACTCTGTGGCGATTTTAATATTAATACTCTGAAAAAAAGTAAGGAAACTATTGAGTTAAGTGAAATTCTGTCTGCGTATAACCTGAAAATAGGAATAAAAGAGCCCACTAGATTGGTAAGTGGCACATGTATTGACAAATTCATGTATAATGTTCGTGACTGTAAAACAAGAGTTTTGGAACTTGCGTTATCTGATCACACTGCACAAGTACTTACATGTCCAGTAAAAGTAAGTTATCTGATCAAATATTGGTACATTAAAACGCGGGACTACTGTAAAGAGAATTTAGATAAATTTAAAGAATGCATTAACGCTCTGAGTTTCAATAATGTGTTTAATAATAATGATCCAAATACTTCGTTTAACATTAATTATGATTTTTTCGGTCTTTTCTATAACTTATGTTTTCCTGTAAAATATATTAAAAAAGACACAAAAGTAAAGCTGAAATGGATAACGAAAGGTATAAAAAAGTGCTGTAAACGTAAACGTCAGCTTCTTTGGCAATATAGGAAAAACCGAACAGAAAATAATAAAAGAAGTTTTATAGACCTTTCATTGAGACTGAGTCGTGTTATCAAATTCACACAAAAGGTTAAAAACGACAATTTCACAAATAGTGTCGTAACAAATGCAAAGATACTTGGACTATAATTAATAATAGGACAATTAATTTACCAAATCAGGAAATACAACAAATTACTATCAATAACACTACAATTAAGGATCCCATAAGCATAGCGAATAAATTTATTGAATATTATATTAACTAAATCACCAAATTGGTCCCGCATAGAACACCAATTAATATCTCAAGTGAATCTAAATCTTTATTTATGAAACCCGCAACACCGAATGAAATAAATAAAATTATTTTAATTATAAAACCTACGAATAGTAGGGGTTACGATGATATTTCAACCAAAGTATTAAAATATGTTTCTATCAAATTATCACATGTACTGAGTCATATTATCAATCAATGCATTTATCATGGCCTTTTTCCTGACAAATTAAAGTTTACCATAATCAAACCTATTTTTAAGAAAAACGACAGAAATGACATGAGCTGTTATAGACCGACAGCATTAGTACCGGTTCTATCCAAAGTTTTTGAAAAAGTAATTCATCAAAGATTAAATAATTATTTCAAAACAAATAATTTATTTTCAAAAAAGCAGGTAGGTTTCAGAAAGAACAAAACTATAAATATGGCAATTTTCTCATTTTTAAAGAGTGTTATGGTAAACATGGATAATAAAAATCATGCCTGCGCCCTTTATATGGACCTAACAAAGGCGTGACTATGTTGACCACAATATATTGCTAGATAAGTTATTTACCTATGGAGTCAGGGGAAATACGCATGGTCTTATTAAGAGCTATCTTGGTAACAGAAAACAGTCTACACACATAACGAGATTGTGTCTTCACAAAAAAATTGTATGTGACTATGAATCAGAGAGTAATAGGTCCATTATTATTTATTATATACATAAATGATCTCCCGAAAGTAACAACCAATGACACTATTTTATTTGCTGACGACAGTACAATTATATTTACAGGAAAAGAAAAAACTCAAATAGAATTGGAGATAAACAATACCTTAGACAATATTATTAAATGGTTGACTTTAAATAATTTAAATATAAATTTGGAAAAAACTAAATTAATGACGTTTCGAAACAGAGTTCACAATTTAACGGACATGAAAATCTACTATACACAAACAAAAATTGAAGAAGTAGAGACAACAAAATTCTTGGTACTGAACATTGATTCTCAACTAAAGTGGAAGTCACATACAGAGATGTTGTGTTCGAAACTTAATCAATATTCATATGCGATCTACATGTTGTCCAAAACTGCCAGTACATCTACAGTTTTAATGGCTTACCATGGACATGTTACTACTAATATAAAAATATAAAATTTTTAGACAAGCATAAACCTATTTTAATTGGTCGAAGTGATAGCCCTATTCTAGGATCTGACGTAGCCCGGGAGATGTGGAGAATAAAAGGGCTTTGATCATTTGGTTCATACATTCTAAGATTTTGTTCTAGGCAGGGATTTTTTTTTATAGGATCGGGTGACAAACGAGCCCACAGTCCACCTGATGGTAAGTGGTTACTGTGACCCATAGACATCTACATCTATTCTCAATAAAGACTCAAGATGCAGATGCGTTGTCACCCGTGAGGACTAAGATGGAATGCCTCTTTGCCAGTAAAAAGGGTCTCCGGTTCTCTACACTCACTATACGAAACACAGCAGCGTCAAGCTGCTATTTTACGCTGGTTTTCTGTGAGAGCGTGGTCCTTCCCCGGTCGAGCCGACCCATTCGTGCTACAACCATAATATAGCTGCAGCATGGCTCTACCACGTAGTGGGACGTAGTAGGAATGTTTATATATTGTGTTTATTGACGCTGTTAAATCAATTACAGAATTCTTTTTATATAATACTGGTTCAAATGATCGAGTCTCAGCGTGTCTTTTTTTACCACGGTCACAATCATTATTGTCATTTAATCCAAAGCACATGTCTTCATTGGGAGGGTCAGGGGGTTTCTCACGGGGAGACCCCGTTTCGTCACCCATAATTGGGTGTATTGTTCGAAATAACTATATCTTATAAACGTAGTCTACTTACAGCAGAGGAATCCACCACCACAAAATAAGGAAATTAAGGAAAATTAACCAAATACCGAAAAGCACTCACAAGTACGTGTTAACCATTCGACCGTTGGTTATACAACGTTTTCAAAATTCTTCATATTTATGTGTGAGTGCTTTTCATTTGACAGATTGATTCTTGTCAGTGAAATTAGTGACATATTGCAAAATCAAGTGACAGTGCAAGATCCCTCCCGCCGCCTGAGTGATATGTTAAAAAATAGATCCTATTACGTGCCTCTATATAAATTCATCAAAAATACAGTGGGGAAATTATAATAAACCGAATAAAAATACTCAAGACTTGGCCTAAAGGTCTATATACCAGGCCATAAACTCCAAAAAAGAAAAATAGTGAGTAGTAATCATAGACAATCCTCTATCGAGCTATCGACGCTAGTATATAATACAATTTCATTTCATATAAGGCCGGCCACATACATACGGAATTCCGTTTCGAGATTCCGTTTCGGAATTCCGAACGGGTCAGCCACACACATACGGAATCCCGTTTTGCCCGCAAAATTTCGAACGGAAAACTACCGTACGTGTGTGACGGCTCATAGATTTTATATGGACTTGCTGCGTTCGGGATTCCGAATCGGAATATCGAAACGGAACTCCGAAACGTAATTCCGTATGTATGTGGCCGGCCTTAATAATGATATGTAGCAAGCTTTTCTTGTTTATTATATAGATTATATACCATAGATTAATATATATGTAGCAAGCTATTATATACAAAGATTTACAAAGAGTGCTTAAATAAAATCAACAATATAAAATTTATAACTTGTGTACAGAATACATAGTTAAGCTTTTTACCGCAGAATACACTACACTGACGAGAGCGACATTATATTTAATAATTATTAATAATGATAGAGTGGCGCAACGAGAAAAAATTAAATGCATAAATAATATTAAAAATGACGAGGGTTATACCCCTAAGAATTACCATTAGGGATTGCTTCGTTTTAATACTATTATTAATTTTCAATACTATCCACGTAACAGATATGGGTAAGTATTTTGATACAAATTAATGCTTATGGCCTTATATTTATTACACTTTATAAGTTGCATTGTTTTAGCCAATAACAATATGGATCTACATAGTAAAGAAAGTAAATTGAAAGAAGAATCTGGTGACAAAGGCGTTAATTTTAGTGGTAATGATGAATATTTGAAAAGTTGCCCTTTTGTTGATCAAGAAGTTCCTGATTGTGCTGCACTGAATTATCCTTGCATCACTTGTGACCGAAGTATAGACTGTGTTTATGGCAGCTTTTGCAATTACACATGTGTTGTAAAACCAAAGATCATATGTAATGTAGGTATATATGAAATAGTTAAAATTTCTTTTTAATTACAGTATTCACATAACAATTATCTTAATTTATTTATCAAGGGTTCAAAGACTTTCAACAAAACGGCCATGTGTCGATTTTGTTATCAAACTGAAAAATGGGAACATCGATGTGATCAAAAAGCTAATTGCAATTCTTTAGCTTCACCCACAAAGTTTTATTTGTAAGTAAAATCTTAAAAACTACATTTTAAGTAACTAATCCAGAAATGGAAAATTTCTATTATTTTTTATTTTAGGACCAACTGTACAGTGTCCGATGAAATTGTATGCTTGGGTAAACGAAGATTCTTAAAGAAAATAAGATGTTCATGGACAGCAGGAACACGTTGGGGCACAGCTCTCATACTTGCTTTAACCCTTGGCGGCTTTGGTGCAGATAGATTCTACCTTGGACATTGGCAGGAAGGTATTGGGAAGCTCTTTAGTTTTGGTGGACTAGGAGTTTGGACATTAGTAGATGCCTTGTTGATTGGAATTCACCATCTTGGTCCTGCTGATGGTTCATTATATATCTAAATATTTAATTGTAGCAATAAGATTAACTATGTAAGTATAAATAAATTATAAAACATGATCTGTTGTGTAATTTTATTATTAACAAATAGTTCAAATGTAATATTCACTTGCAGTGCTTATAGACTAAATTAACAAGTGCATTTTTTTTTAAACCAGTCATAGCTGGTACTTCGGAAGTGCTTTTATTCTTTAATATATTTTTTAATTGAGTAATTGTGTAGCTATCAACAGTTTTATTGCTTATTTTTTCTTGTAATTCATCCTCATTAATATCTTCTGATTTCACTTTCTTGGTATTGATACTAGACTCGTTTTCATTTTTTGATCTTTTTATTGATAATACTCCGAAAGGTCCAAACAGTTCCTCAAATAAGTCATCCCTGATATCTTGGAATTTTTCAAGATTTGGTTTTGTTGTATCAACAAACGGTTCCATATTTTCTTCTTGTAAGGATTTTGCTTCAATTGCCCTATATTCAGACTGTAATTTGGGGTTTTCAAACATATCAGCTTTGTAATCAAATTGTAAGCTTGTCAACATGTCCTTCATTAAAACTTTGTGTGCATTTTCAACTACTATGTTTTGATCGGTGTTATCAAAAGCTGGTATGTCTCTTACATTTTCTATAAATGGTATAAAAATAACATCAAATCCAATTTCAATATCAAGGTCTAAAGGGTTAGTGCAGGGGACAAGAGCAACAATAGTAGGTCTTGCATTGACTCTTGTACACAATATACATATAGCTACAGTATTCATCTCGGTACAAGCCTTATGTAAAGCTTTAAATGCAATTGTTGAACCTTCAATGACACTTTCACTTGGGAATATAAAGTAACTTGATTTCAAAAACCACTTTTCTTTACACAATATTGTGGCTGGCTTGAAGCCCAATAACTTAATCATGGGGGGTCCAAATGGATTTTCTATTGCTTTCTTTTCTTTTTCAGTAAACTCTATTCTCTCACCTCCATACTCTTGATAGAATAATAGTTCTGATTTTAGTAATGGGACTTCCTTAATATCATTGTCATCTTTAGGAAATGAGTTGCCAGACCCTATTGTTACTTTGGTTGTCTTTGTTACACTTTCAACAACTTCATTGGTTTCTTTATCTAGTTTTGATGTCTTATGATGAGATTGACTGGAACTTTTTAAAAGACTATAAACCCCTACACCTATAGATAAACCATTACCAATTTCAAAACACAATTTTGCAACAGCTAAATGGCGGTGAGAATGTATGTACATTAAAGTTTCTATAGCTTTGCTATCCCAAATAGCTTTTGGTAAAATATAATCCTTTGATTTATTCGCTTCAATCAAAAACTTTTGATAAAATGGATTGATTGGATAATCATTCATTGAAATATTTATACATTTTATTTCTGTATAAGACTCTGCTAAATCAATAACTCTTTTCAGGGTTCTTTCTCTATCAGTCTCTATTGGAGAGTTATTTAGCTGAGTTAAAATAATAACAGTCTTTGATGACAAAGTCTTATTACAATTTTTAAATATTTTGCTGCAATGCCATAAGACTTCCGAAAGTATTAATTCTTTTGCTTTCCCATACGATTCTATGTTTGCGGCACGTAGTTTTTTATAACCATCCAAAGTTGGCACATTCATAGGAAATATATCGACAACATTACTTGTATTAAAAGCAGATTTGGTTTGTTCTGTTCCATAAATGGTAACGCCGATAATATGAGCGCTCGACGATCTCAAATATTGTCTGATTAAACGGCATGAGGCTTCTTGTGCAACGGCAGTTACACTTGAATCTTCTAGAGCATTTATAAGAATTATAGTACCAGGTCTTCCTTTCCATTTTGATGATTCTTCAATTTCATCGTCTGAATCCATACTCCCAGGATTAAAATCGTGAGTTGCAAAATAATATTTAATTCGAAACGTTTAGAAATAATACCGTCCACACCTTGACAGCTTGACGCTTGCATAGATAAATAACTATGTAGCAAGCTACATGTTTATTTGAAGAAATATAAAAAATAAAAATATTGTTGTTATCGATTTTTTTTATTTCAAGGCATAAGGATCTATGCTCATACAGCCTTGTCCGGCGTGTATTTTTTTTGTTTGCAATATTATGCTCTTGCATTACACTGCAATTTAGGAGAGATTTTGCTGACAGATTATCCCACCGGACATTATTTCAGTTTTATTTTAAAAAAAAAATATATTATCTCAAAGCGCTTAAGCGGATAAATAACTTCAAATTCATATCAACATTGATGCAATTATTTCCACAAATTTTTTTCTTCGGAAAGGGTTAATATGCTGTTAGCCTTGCGGGCTGTACAGCTTCATCGTAATAAACTCTGTAAATTAGGACTTACGAGCTATTGAGCGCAATGATTCCCGAAGCACCCCGGTCCCTGCTTTACCCAAAAGCAGGGACCGGGGTGCTTCGGGAATCGAGGGGCTCGATGTGATTCAAGGGCCCCTCAGAAAGAGGTAAGAACTTCGGCTTGAACCACTATCGAAATGTGGGATCGGTCGAAATATTAGACGCCCCGTAAAACGGGTATTGAATCTCGTGTAAAGATTGTGTCTAGTGTTTCTATATAGTTTGTGGTCTATGACCCAGTGTTCACCGGCGAAAGCGGTGTGCCCTAGTGTTCCGTACTAGTGTAGATTCTGAATATGTGTAACCGTGTTATTAAACCAGATTTTCTCTCCTGTGGAGGAGGAGAAAGGATGAAGCTATTTAAGGAAGTGATTTTTAAAGAAGAAGGAGTTTTTAAAAACGGTGGCGATATTTTCACTAATGATTCACATGTCAAAATATATAATACACAAAATCGTACTAATTTACGTACATATAAAAAAAACAACTAAAATCAATGCCGCAGCTATATTACGGTTTTAGCACGAATGGGTTGGCTGGACCAGGCAAGGACCACGCTCTGACAATACCAGCGTAAAATAGGAGCTCAATGCTGCTGTTTCGTATGGTGAGTGTAGGGAACCGGAGACCCTTTAATTGGAAACGAGGCATTCCATCTTAGTCCTCAGGGGTGGCAACGCATCTGCATATTGATTCTTAATTGATATGTCTATGGGTCAATTGATGATGTCTATGAGCCATAGCATCCACTTACCATCAAGTGGACTGAGCTCGTTTGTCACGCTTATTCTATAAAAAAAACTAGGCTTAGGTTTAAGATCTTTTTTGTTTCACTAAAGATTATTCTCATAAGAAATCGTTTACGAGAAATCAAATGGTTGATGAAGAAAAACAAAATAAAATAATTCATATCGAGCCTACGGAACAAAACAGGGACATTTTTTCAAAATAGAAATTGTTACACCATGCCACTGACAGTTATTCTCCATATTATGCATACACCCTATTTATAGCTGTAGTTACTAAGATAACGATTATATTGAAAAAAAAAAAGTCCAGGGGACTAAATAAGGGGTTCTAAATTAGTGGTTTTTAGAAATTTTGTCTGTCTATCTGTGTGTTCCGGATTCACGAAAAACTACTAAACCGATTTACATGAAATTTTGTATGTAGGTAGTGAGTAACCCGGGACAACTTATAGGCTACTTTTTATCCGATTACGAAACTTCAAAAAAGGAAAGTTAAGTATTTTATTTCCTTTAGATGTTAATTTTCTATTATATCTTGGTTATAGGCGGGATGACGGGTGTTTTTCAAATAAATACGATATTTGTAAATAAAGTTTAAAATATAGTTATAATCTTGGTAAAATAATTTGCAATTACACCGATTTGGTATTCAAAACAGCGCCATCTATCGTCAAATGGAAAAAGTAGTATATTTTGCCTTCAGTTACTAATAAATGAAATAATATAAATAATTTGCATATAATATATGATTAAATGATTAGATTTTTAAAATTATTAAAAAACTCTAAAGTTTAGTTTTTTTAGTATTTTTTGTTATTTTATTTTAAAAGTGTAATAATTTCAATAGATAATAGTGACGTCTATCAAAAATATGAAAATTGATAATGTATTTATTACAATTACTAATAAATATGTAAAGCGTTGTTTTAATGTATTACGTACTAGAGAAGCTATTACAAAGAAAAAAAAAATGTGCGCTACTCTGTCTTCGCGCATGCGCGGTAAATAGTCGGAGTCATAGAGAAAAGTAATACTGGTCGGAGTTTTGGCGGGAACTTGACCGGCAGCGGTTTGCTGCTCTTGTATTATTGTTTAAATAATGGTTTGAAGTGGACTTTGATATGTAAAAGTGGTGCGATTTTGTTGTATTAAGTGTCTGCGCATATGAACTATTAGTGGAAACTGTGAAACAAGTGCTCTGATGGTAATGTGATTTTCAATATAAGGTGTCTGTCTGCTTAGGCGCCTTGAGATACCATCGCCAACCGTCAGCTGTCTGCTGGCTCAAGTTGCCATCAAAATCTCCCAAGGGCTGCACAATGTGACGCATCAACATATTGTGAAGCAGTATACTATGAAGGATAATTATTATAATATATTGTAAGTTCAGGCTCAGAAGAGCTAGATCCCAGATCCGTAAATCCAGTTATTAAGAAGAAGAAGCGGTAAATAGTCTAGTCGCGCATGCGCAATTGTTGTCATCATAGATTATATGTTGGTAGAACGATCAGTATGTAATAAGTAATTGCTTAATTAGATTGTATTGTTAATTACTTATATCGAGTACAATTTTTGTAATTATTAATATATTTTGCATATTAGCAAATTGCAAATTAGCATAATTTAATATAATATAACATAATATTGTCAGAATTACATTTTAATGATATTTTATTTAATACTTTAACAAAATATGCATTTATTATCAAAGCTTACTTTTGTAGCATTCTCTAACGTATAAATACGTTACGTAGCTTCTGAATAATAGTGTAAAATCAATGTGAATTTACGTAAATGTGCATGCAGTGTATAATAAATAATGCGTGCTCTGTTTATACTATTTCATTAAAGATTTAGGTAACTAGGCAACTTCTGATTTAGCCATTAAATCAATTTCAGCATTTAGGTTGAGATCGAATTTATGTGTCAAATTTTGATTTGTAGGAAGCACATTTTTTCTTTAGATAAATATTTTGTCTTTGTAGTTTCTTAAATTTCTCAGTAAGTTTCTTTCTAGCTGCAGATTCCTTACTACAATATTACAACGTGCTCATACTTTATTATTTTTATATTGACCTAGAATCATTGATTCCGTTAATAAGGTAGAACTATATTTAAAACTTTAGGCTTCGTATACATCACTCGAATTTGTCTTAGGACACATCACTTGCGTAATTTATTTTTAAGTACAATTTTGCTCGGACTATCACAAATTGAATTTGAACTGCTTACTGATTCAGACAACGGTTCTGATACTTCCTGTTCACCACATTTTGTGGCTGAAAAAGAGAATACTAGTTATTTGGGAAGCCGGTAAATATTCTAGCGTTACAGTATTAAAAAACCGCCATATACTAGTATAACTCGCGCGCCGAGGGTTCCGCCTCTCTTAAGTCCCGTAAATATACTGAACATTACAAAAATTAGTTCGCCGTCTAATCACAAAATAAAACAAAATCCCAGCAATGTTATATAATAATAATTACGTCATCGCATGGTATTGCAGTTTGTTTAAGTATGGTCTTCCTGTATTTATGGTGAGTTTGTTATTTTATTTGAACTACACGGAACATATGCGCGAGTAATGTGACGTTTCTTCGCTGCATTGCTTCTGAACAAATTTAATCCATGATTCTTTTGTTTCATGACACTGCCGAGGAAACCTTCAAATATAAATAATAATAAAAATATTAATTTAATGCATTGACATTTCCTACCATGATTATATATTAATATTTTAGGTTCATAGTTACTGAACATTATACGTCGATAATGTCGTCTGCGCATAAAAATGTTTTAATCTTTGACATTCACGTATACGTTGCAGTTGATAAAATATAATTAAATTAAGAGTGTTTTAAAGATAATAATATGTTGAACTTACTAGTGAAAAGTCATTCGTAGACTTTTACTTATGTTTCTCGAGTTGTTAGAACAGTATCTCAATGCACACGAAGGCATATTAATTTAAAAAAAAAATCTTCACTCAAGCGTATCACGTTGCAGCAACCAGCAACCGCTTGACACCAAAGACTACAATGCACAGAACACTATTACTCCTACGGAGCTCACTGCTACAATGTTATATAGGGAACTTGACACAGACTAAGTAAGTTTGAGCGCGCGCGCTCAAATGCTGTACCACACGCTTGGCAAACTACGGCAAACAGCAAATACCAAGGCTGCGCTATGTGCCTGAGCTCTCACCGACAGGTTCACCGACGCTCCGTCAGGATACAAACCGGTTTGCGCCGGCTCAGTCAGAGTGTAAATGAAAGGGCTGTTGGTCACGCGCATTGAAATAAATAGACGAATAATATTTCGTGATTTTATAGATCAATAAATCTATTTATTTTTTAGAATTAGAGTTAAGTTTAAAGATTGTGTACAATAAAATAAGACATTATAGATTTATAAGTATATATTTATATTAGATAATTAGTGTTCGTATAAGCTAAATGCCTAAGTTGTACAGTATGTATGAAAAATTCGAGAGAAAATAATACAATAGCCAGACAGTGGTGCAGTTAGTGTTAGTGGTAGTAGTGCTGGTGATGGTGGACGGTGGTGCTGATCATGCGTTGTTGGTAGCGGTGGATGGTGGTACTGTACGTGCTGAGTGTCAGTGATTGCGGTAGTGCTGGTAGTATCATTGGTGGTGGTGGTGGACAGTAGACCGCCTCTGGCACCACCACCACGATCAGCATCACCACCACAACCCTTACTACCGCCACCATCATCCTGGT